GGATTCCAAACAGTACAAAAGAAACCTCAAAAAGTAATAGGAGGAAAAGGAAAGAGACAAGTCGGTGCTTTGACTAGTGGTGAAAGAGGCGTAAATACCACCTTAGTTGCTTGTGCTAGCGTGTCCGGCCAAGTTATTCCACCAATGATAATTTTTAAACGAATGCGAATGAACGAACATTTAAAAGAAGGAGCTCCAGTTGGAAGCTTGGTGACTGTTTCGGAATCTGGTTACATCAACCGTGAACTCTTTTATCAGTGGCTGCAACATTTCATTTCTGTGGTAAAACCAACAAAAGAAGACAAGGTCTTGTTATTACTGGATGGTCATACGACGCACAGCAAAAATTTAGAAGCTCTGTCATTAGCACGAGATAAAGGTGTGATTTTGCTGCAACTGCCAGGACACACAACCCACAGACTCCAACCTCTTGACGTGTCTTTTTTCAAGCCAATGAGCACTTATTATACACAGGCTATAGAATCATGGATGCGCACATATCCTGGCAAGGCTGTAACGCAGTACCAAGTGAGCCGGCTAATCAATCAGGCATATGAGCGCGCAGCTACCGTTGGAAACATAGTTAGTGGTTTCAAAGCAACAGGTATATGGCCTGTAAATAGAAACGTTTTCCAAGATCATCATTTTGCTGCTGCTGACGCTTTGCTTGCTGTTGGTGCTGAAGAACATGTACCGGTTTTGTCACCAAGAACGCCTCCCAATACGCAAATGCATGCCTGTGAGCCATCCACTTCACATGCCGCCGGAACATTCCAGTTTGCCGAAACGTCAGTGGTCGGTGGATCATCATGTAGCGTTCAGACATCACCACAGGTCTCAAAAATGCCACAGGCCGCAGCAACGTCGTCTCAGGATGCTGATACATCACAGACCTATGAAATATCCCAGGTTGATGGAACAATGGAAGCGGAAATATCGACGTCACAAACAGATAAGCAACTGAAATTACGTAAAGTAAGAGGATGTCTCAATACTTTATCCCCTTTATTCAAGACCGTTAAGCCTGCTAGAGGCAGAGGTGCACAAAAAGCAAAGGAATTAACATCAAGCCCATATAAAAATCCCAACAGAAGTGCAAGAAACCGAAATCGGTTAGTTTGAGTAAGAACATTAAATTATTGTCAACCGTACAATCAGGGGAAGGTGCAAAAGATTCGCAAGCAAATACAGATAACGTGAATAACAGGATGAAAATAAATAAACAGACTAAACAAACAGAGAACAATTCTACTAAAAAGAGACGTGCAATCAAAAAAAGGAAACTGCAAGAAAGTGCAGAGTCGAGTGATGAATCTTTAGATGAAGAAGCCCTAGTTTTGGATAATTCAGATAGTTGTGCTTCTGATAACTCCGATAACGAGTGTGCTAAATGTAAATTAAATTACTGGGATAAAAAGGGGCCAAAAGTTGACTGGGTAAAGTGCGTGCGATGCTGTAAGTGGAATCATGAAACCTATACTACCAATCCCGACATTTGTGACGATTGTTTGTCTTAGTCTAAATCCTAAAAATTTATATAAAAAGTGTGACTTCTATTGCCTATTCAATTTAAGTTATGTTATGTTATTTTAGAAAAAAATGTTTAAGTTTTGTTACTTGATACTAGATTTACTCTCCGGTACAATTTAGCAACCCGGTGGTCCAATCAACCGTACCGGTTGGGTAAATTGGAACGAAGTTCTGTTCTAATATAACGTTGATTTTTCGGAAATGTGTAACTCCTAGGTTAATTATGATTTTATAAATGTAAAGCCAAATAAATAGAGTTTCATTTAATGTGAAAATTATTTTAGGAATAACTAATAATATACCTGAAAACCGCTCTTAAAGAAAAGTGGTCCAAATAAACCGACTTTCCCCTATATATATATATAAATAAATAATAATAGTGATAATAGTAATAATAAGCCTTTACTGCCCAACAGCTTATCCCCAATAACAGAGCAATTTATAAA